TTTTTTCTTTTTTTTTTTTTTTCTTTTTTTACATATGCGTCTGGAATATTCCTTTATTAGCCTATATTTATCTGCGTTTATTCAGTTACAGATGTTTGCTGCTGCGGATGTGCTGAAATTACGAGTGTGTTGTGTTCAAGTGCTTTTGTTGTCGTAGTGAAACGTGGCGGAACTTGAACTGTTATTTATTATTTACCCCAAAAAATATTACATTTAAACAATAATAATGATATTTTTAAAATATTTTTATTACTTTTAACAAATATTTGATAATGTATTAATTTATTTTTAAAAACAAATGTAAATTGTGAAGTTATTAAAATGATGTATGTCACAGCTTTATGTTTGTTTAGGCTCCAAACGAACAAACTAACAGCAGAACGTTTAACAGAATGAAGTGTTTAGGTTTAGTTAGTTAGTTAGTTAGTTAGCTGACTAGTTGGTTTGTTGGTTAGTTAGATAGTTAGTTAGTTCTCACCGTTCACGACACTTTCGCTGCTTTTCCGCGTGATAAAAAGTCAAAGTTTCTCTCATGTCGGGGGCTCGTGGATCAGTGGAAATGTCGTGTTCATGTGCAATTTTGATGTCAGTTTTTAGTATTTACGATCATTTCCATAGGACGTGAAGGCACCAGCACATGTTACTACTGACAACACTGTGGGACATTACAGTCAGAGCAATGACATCTCCATGGAGACGAGCAGGTGTCGAACCCTCCACCAGCACTTTGAGATTTCTATCAATGTAAAGTGTAAAATAAATAACTTATAATTTAGTAACTGTTCTCTCTGGAGTTTCCTCACCGCTGGAGGCGCTGCTCCGATTTATTCACTTCCTGTTTATTTTCCGTCGTGCGTCAGACGCCAGCAGAGGGCAGCAGAGCGCGCTACACCTCCTGATTCATTTATTAAAATACCGTTATTATTTCAAACTTTTTTACACTTTACATAATAAAATAAAATTACATGAAGTGAAACATGAGCCCAGTGATGTTTTTAGTTAATTAAAGAACAATTTAAAGGTGCTGTATCTCATTTTTTTCTTCTTTTTTTTTTTTTTTTTTTTTAGAAAACATGAAAAACAGAACTAGTTCATTTTTAGTCATTAGTTAGTTTCTATTTTTGACCAATCTGATCCTGCCAACAGTAAAGAGAAACATAAACTGTCATTTGTTTTGGTAAAATACAGAAAAGCTGCTTTAAAACGACCAAAACACAAAGAAAATGTGACTGTACTGACTCATGTTCATCATGAATGGGCCAAGTGAAGAATATTTTCCTAAATAAAATTGTGAAACGAGTGCGTAATTATTATCAACCACCAAAAAAAAAAAAAAAAAAAAAAAAAAAAAACTAAACTCAGATGTTCCAGTTTTTTATTTTGAAATTTTGGTCACCCTTTGATAAAATAACATTAGATGAAGTAAAACATGAGCCGAGTGATGTTTTTAACTAATTAAAGCACAATTTAAAGGGACTGTATCTGATTTTTTCTGTTTTAAAAATGTGGAAAACAGAACTAGTTCATTTTAAACAGTTCTCCAAAGTTCTTCCTCACTTCTCTTCTGCACTCAGAGCGTCCGAGTTACTCGCCACGATGAGTTTAGAAGCACTTTTCACAACTTTGAGACCAGAGTGGAGTTCTGCAATCAAGTTAAATCTAACAATAAAGCACATTTTTCCTAATTTGAATAATAAAACTCTTTATAATTATATGCAGGACTCACTTTGAACTAAGACAGTGTGACCAGTCGTCCCTGTTTCCTCAGGACAGTCCCAGTTTTGAGTCTGTGTCCCCTGCCCCACAGATTTATTCAAAACCACAGATTTGTCTCAGTTTTATACAAAAAATGCCTCAAGTGTTTCTATTTTTGACCAATTTGATTCCTGCCAAAGGTAAATAAACATAAACTGTCATTTGTTTCAGTAAAATACAGAAAATCTGCTTAAAAATTCACATTTTCTTTGTGTTTTGGACTCTCAAAACACAGGCTCAAAACTGGGACGTCTGGACTCTAACACGGGCCACAAAGCCGTTTAAAGTTTTATTGTCTTCACGAGGACCAGGTGAGTTAAATAGAGCTTTATTTTATTTTTTGATTGGATATGTTTTTTAGTTTTGTGCAGCTCTTTGGAAATTGTAGAAATAAAGTGAACTGGATCAAACTGTTTCCATGTAAAGTTTTGTAAAGGAGGAAAAAGGCTGGAGACTCCTGTTTTCTAACAATAGTAACAATTCACACGCAGAGACACAGAGAGGACACAGAGAGGACACCAGTGGACACAGTGTGGACACCTGTGGACACAGAGAGGACACAGTGTGGACACAGAGAGGACACAGAGAGTGGGACACAGAGAGGACACAGTGTGGACACAGAGAGGACACAGAGAGGACACAGAGAGGACACAGAGAGGACACAGAGAGGACACAGTGTGGACACAGAGAGGACACAGAGAGGACACAGAGAGGGACACAGAGAGGACACAGAGACACAGAGAGGACACAGAGAGACACAGACACACAGAGTGACACAGAGACACAGAGAGGACACAGTGTGGACACAGAGCGGACACAGAGAGGACACAGAGAGGACACAGAGAGGACACAGTGTGGACACAGAGAGGACACAGAGAGGACACAGGACACAGTGTGGACACAGAGAGACACAGAGACACAGAGGACACAGAGGACACAGTGTGGACACAGAGAGGACACAGAGAGGACACAGAGAGGACACAGTGTGGACACAGTGTGGACACAGTGTGGACACAGAGAGGACACAGAGAGGACACAGAGAGGACACAGAGAGGACACAGTGTGGACACAGAGTGGACACAGAGTGGACACAGAGAGGACACAGTGTGGACACAGAGAGGACACAGAGAGGACACAGAGAGACACAGAGACACAGTGTGGACACAGTGTGGACACAGAGTAGACACAGAGTGGACACAGAGCAGAGACACAGAGACACAGAGAGGACACAGTGTGGACACAGAGAGGACACAGAGTGGACAGACACAGTGTGGACACAGAGAGGACACAGAGAGGACACAGTGTGGACACAGAGAGGACACAGTGTGGACACAGAGTGGACACAGAGAGGACACAGAGTGGACACAGAGAGGACACAGAGAGGACACAGAGTGGACACAGTGTGGACACAGAGAGGACACAGAGAGGACACAGAGAGGACACAGAGAGGACACAGAGAGGACACAGTGTGGACACAGAGAGGACACAGAGAGGACACAGAGAGGACACAGTGTGGACACAGTGTGGACACAGAGTGGACACAGAGAGGACACAGAGAGGACACAGAGTGGACACAGACAGAGAGGACACAGAGTGGACACAGAGTGGACACAGAGAGGACACAGTGTGGACACAGTGTGGAGAGGGACACAGTGAGAGAGACACAGAGAGGACACAGACACAGAGAGTGACACAGTGTGGACACAGAGAGGACACAGAGTGGACACAGAGTGGACACAGTGTGGACACAGACACAGAGAGGACACAGAGAGGACACAGTGTGGACACAGAGAGGACACAGAGAGGACACAGAGTGGACACAGTGTGGACACAGAGAGGACACAGAGAGGACACAGAGAGGACACAGTGTGGACACAGTGTGGACACCTGTGGACACGTCTTTAATCTATTTAAGTCTCTCCTCACACTTGGACTGAAAACTGCTGCTCTTTGAACTCCAAACTGTTTCCTGTGTTTCCTGCTCGTCACATGAGCTCAGCAGGCGGCGGCGCAGATGATCTACACCCTCCTGCTCAAGACTGAAGAGAAGAGAAGAGAAGAGAAGAGAAGAGTGACACCTGCAGCCGCTCACGAGGCAGAGCCAGTGCAGCCGCTGCAGCTCAGGGGGTTGAGTTCTGGAGACACAAGGTCAGAGGCGACTGTAGTAACTTTAGAACAGTAAGAGCTCAGGACACACAGTAGGGAGTTTGTTTTTATCCATCCATCCATTTTCTTCCGCTTATCCGGGGTCGGGTCGCGGGGGCAACAGTCTGAGAAGGGCCTCCCAGACTTCCCTCTCCAGACACGTCCTCCAGTTCTTCCGGAGGAACCCTGAGACGTTCCCAGTCCAGCCCAGAGACACAGTCCCTCCAGTGTGTCCTGGCTCTTCCCCGGGGCCTCCTCCCGGTGGGACATGAACACCTCCTGAGGGACACGTCCAGGAGACATCAGAACAGATGCCCGAGCCTCAGCTGGCTCCTCTCAATCTCAATGTGGAGGAGCAGCGGCTCTACTCCGAGCTCCTCCCGTGTGACTGAGCTCCTCACTCTGTCTCTAAGGGAGACGCCCAGACGCCCTGCGGAGGAAACTCATTTCGAGCGCTTGTATCCACGATCTCGTCCTTTCGGTCACTACCCAGAGCTCATGACCAGAGGTGAGAGGAGGAACGTAGACTGACCGGAGTTTGTTTTTAGATTCTCTAAATTAGAATCCTGCATTTGTTTCCATATCTGACTGAAATATTTGGGTCAAAATTTTATGTAAATGAATATTTAAAGGAGCTAAAGACACTTGAAAATGTCTCCATGGCCTAAACTAGAACATAGAGACAAATAAATTTTATTTTATTCTGCAAACACAAACTGAAACTTGCATAAAAATTACTTTAAAAATCCATAAAGTTCATAAAAAGTATTTTTCAGTCTATAAATCACTCACAGGGTTAAAATTTCAGAGTAAAACTTTTCAGAGTTGTTTTTAACACAAAAAGTGTTATTTGAACTCTTTGAAAGTTAAATGTGTGTTGGAGTTGGGGTGATTTACCAGAGTTGATTTGGTTGAAGTTAATTCAACTTCCTTTAGTGTTAATTTGTCTTCTCCCTCCACTTCAAACTCCCTCCAGAGTAGAACCAGTTTGAACCAGTTTTGTTCAAAAAATTTCAATTTAAATTAACTCAAATAAAGTGTAAAAATAAAAGTCATCTGTGTGTTGTTGAGTTAAATCAGGATAACTCTACAAAGTGTTATCTGTTTACTCTCTAAACGTTCATTTAACTCTGGATTTGGAGTAAAACAGGAACTTTGGTCCAGTTTTACTTAATGAACATTTCCCAAAAAAAAAAGTTAAATTAACTCTACAACAGAGTGAACTCAGATAAACTCTGAGAAAATGTTTAAATTGATTCTGTGACAGTCAATTATAACACTCCACTTTTTTTGTTTGTTTGAATAATTTAGTGATCTCTCCTATCTTCATTAAAGGAATTGAAAGAGATAAAAAGAGCATAAAAAAAACACCAGAAACATTAGATTTAGTTTTTTACACACAGGCTGTTCAAATCGATAAAAAGGAACATGTGACGTGTTACAGTTCATGTTTTACAGAAGTGGAACATCTTTAGAGTCTCGTCTTAAACGTGAGTCCGTAAAACTTCAATAAATCGATGCCAAACAGCAGCCGCATATTTGAAAAGTAAAATGACGCAGTGAGTCCGGCTGACCTTCTATTCTTATGCACACAGTCGCAGGAAGTAGTCCAGTATCCTGTGGGCTGTGAGAAAGACCGGGCTGTGGACGCGCTCACTCCTGGTCCCGCTCTGGTCCTGGTCCCGCTCTGGTCCCGGTCTGGTCCTGGTCCTGGTCCTGGTCTGGAGCCTCGGGGGGACATGTCGGGCCGTTGGTCCCTGAGGACGCTCCTTCTCCTGGGGCTGAGCTGGAGCGGCCAAGGTAAGAACATCACACACAACATCATTTTAACACAGGTTTTTAAAAAATCAGGTTTGTTTTATCATTTTCACAAACAGGTTTTGTCACAGTGAGCAGAACGTGAAGATTCTAAATAATATTTTTATTGAAACAAACTTTGGGCACATGTTAAAACGTAAAATGTGTTTCATCACCACAAAACTGAACGCAGGTTGGGACTAAAGCTGGAACTAAACCAAGACTAAACCAGGACTAGACCAGGACTAAAACAGGTCTACATCAGGACCAGGGTCACACCAGGACTAAAGTGTGAACATGTGCACAGAAAAAAACAATATCTAGGTAAATTAAAATGACTTAAATTAAGAACATTTGACTTTATTTGAGGCGATTCAACTTTACGAGTCAAATGGAATAATTTTTTTTTTTAATTCAAGCAACATTTGATTTTGTTTCTTATTTTAAGTGCACAGAGTTGTAGTTTTTCTTATTTTAGATGTATTTTCATATTTTAAACACAGAAAGTCTCGCTCCTTTGTCAGATCATTTTACTCGTCGAGTGAAATTTACTCAAATCATGATCAAACTTTCTTAATTCACGTCGTCTTGACTTGGACAGATTTAGTTTTTTTTTCCGTCTGTAACTTTTCTGTAGAAGCTTTTCTCCGTGAAGCTCTTATTTATTTCTTTGTGTGTAATGTTCCACAGTGTGGCATTAAAGCTGCACACACGTTTGTCTTTAGTCTCAGTTTATGTTCAGGCTCATGTGAAGCTCAGAACCTCCAGAATTCCCTGTTCCCTGAGCTGCAGCGGCTGCACTAGCGCTGCCTCAGGACTGGAGCAGGTGCTGGAGTTTAGAGACACTTCAGGTCACAGAGAAACGTTTTAGGTTTAAACTCACTGGATTTCAGTTTTGAACCAACAACTCAAACAGGAGTGTGAGGCTCATTCTGCTTCTGATTCATACAAAACTGAACATCACAACAAGTGTTTTTGTGATTAAGAATAAATCTACATTAGTGAGTGTTAAAATTCACTCTCACAGAATCAATTTGAACATTTTCTCAGTGTTTATCTGAGTCACTCTGTTGTAGAGTTAATTTAACATTTGTGTAAATGTTCATGAAGTAACACTGGACCAAAGTTCCTGTTTAACCCCAAATCCAATGAGTTAAATGAATGTTTAGAGAGTAAACAGATAACACTTTGTAGAGTTATCCTGATTTAACTCAACAACACACAGAGGGGTTTTATTTTTACACTTTATTTGAGTTAATTTAAGATGAAATTATGAACAAAACTGGTTCAAACTGGTTCTAATCTGGAGGGAGTTTGAAGTGGAGGGAGGAGACAAATTAACACTAAGAGAAGTTGAATTAACTTCAACCAAATCAACTCTGGTAAATCACCCAAACTCCAACACATTTAACTTTCAAAGAGTTAAAATAACACTTTTTGTGTTAAAAACAACTCTGACACACATTTTAACCCTCTGTTTCTGCTGTATTGAGTTAAATTTATGGAATTTCAGATAAATCTTACATACACAGTTTCCTCAAGAAAACATGACCTGTGTTTAGGTCAACTGCAAATTTCTCTGATCTGGACAAGATTTTAAAACTTATATCAGGTTCTTCATCTTGTTTTCACATTTATTATCTACTTACTACTTCTGAATTGGCTTCATTCTAGTCTAGAGGTTGTTTATTTTAAGAAAACTGATCAGTAAAATGATCTTGCTGCACGGACACATTATTTTTCTACTTTTAAGTCATTTTCTGATAGATTTAAGTGTTTAGATCTTCTTACATTTGGCCAAGTGAACTGGAACAGTGGAAACACGACTACAACTCCTTTAAAATGAAACAATTCCTTTTTTTTTGGACACTTCCCATAGGAAAAATGTGTTGCTCATCTGCTGTTCAATCTCATTTCTTGAGATAATTTTGAGCTTCTCATATTCGTATCATTTTGTGATCATTTCTCCCTTAAGAACAAGAGATGATCCCTCAGTCTACATGAGGGAGTTACTGCAGCACTAGACTCCCCCCAGAGCCTGAGATCAGACCAGCTCCTGTTGGTCGAGCCCAAAACTCGGCTCAAGACGAGAGGAGACAGAGGTTTTTCTGTGGCAGCGCCCAGACTGTGGAAGTGCCTTCCTCCTGCTGTCAGATCCTCTCAGTCTGTAACACAGTTTAAGACAAGACTGAAAACTCACCTCTTCTCCCTGGTGTTTAGTTCGAGCTCGTCAGTTTATCTTGTTGTTTTTATTGTAGTTTTAACATGTTTTCTGTATATCTGTATGTGTAACTGTTTCTTCTGTGCTGTTGACTTGTATGTGAAGCACTTTGGTCAACTGAAGCTGTTTTAAATGTGCCATAGAAATAAACTTGAATTGAATTGAATAAAAAAGACGAGACATCAATAAGACAAAGGAGTCTGAGCTGAGATCATCAGATGAACAACACTTGAGGAGTGGAATAAACAGAGCAGATCTCATAATTGTATCTGATCTCAATGATGAAGGAGAATTAAAGAGAACAACATGAGATGAATGTAAGACTTTTATTATTATATTTTTATTTATTTAAAGAGACAGTGACAGAGCACAACACACATGAACCTGAACAGGAGAGATGTTTGTTCAGGTTGTAGCACCACAGCTCATTTCCACCTGTCGTCACTGGGCAGGTCCATTGATTGATTTTATTTAATTGACCTGAGTTTTCAGCTCTCAGTTCTTCTTCCTGGAGACCTGGAGCATGTTTTGGGTTAATGGAGAAACCGAAATGCCTGGAGGAAACTCATCCAGACACGAGGAGAAACATACAAACTCCACACAGAAAAGCCCGGGCGACCAGGGGATCGAACCCAGAACCTTCTTGCTGTGAGGCACTGTGCTGTTATGAGACAAATCTGAGAACTGAGATAGTGACAGAACTGAGACAGAACTTCCATATAAAGATATCAAATAGAAATATATTTAAAAGCAGCACAATCTCATTTTTCTCTGAGCTGAGATCAAGATCAGAGACAGAACTCAGACGATGTTCATGATGAGACTTTTTTCTCAGGAGAAAACCACTTTGGTCTCGATTAGAGTTTATTTATATTTAGGAGATGTAAATGTGGGTTCGGTCAAGTGGTAATGGAGGGAAAACAGGGGCAGATTATTCAGAAACTAGAGGAACTATTGAAATAAGTAAAGTATCAGAATGTAGGAAAGAGTTACACTCCAACAGGGTCAAGTTAAACCTGTGAGATTCTTTCAAGTTCAAGACAAAAAATTTAAAAACTCCTGTTGGTAACGGAGGGAATGAAATATGCAGCACTTTTTGGTCAATAAATCCAAACAGTGATAACTCTTGGTTCTCACTTCCATATCCTTAACAAACTGGTTTGAATATTTGCTTCATATAGTTTTCTACCATATGGTACAAGATTAGGTTGAAAAACCTCTGACTTTTTGACTCATGAGATTTTTTATTAAGAAAGTTCATGGTAACGGAGGGAAAAGTAACGGAGGGAAAATTGTACAAACAAGTAGAAGGTGCAGGATTTTACATCATTTGTCGCTTTTTTCTTCTGAAAACTTTTAATATTACTTCAAAATGAAAGAAACTATTTCTATAAAATATGTCAGTCCTTCCAAGAACATTTTTATCATTTTAAATACATTTTTTTTTTTAAATCCTGTCCCTTCATCAACAGTTCAAAGATGGAATAACACAAGATATGATGAAATACAAACATTTATTTACATGATTTTTGGGTCTTTGAAATTTGGGAAATAATTTTTGTTCCATGTTTCATACATGGTCTGTTTAAAACGGATGGAACTTTAGAACCAAAAATGGAACAGAAAAAAGGTCAACAGTTTGATAAACTCGAGTACATATGTATCTGTTCAATACACTTTTATATCAGATGAATTCACTTGAAGTTTTGGTCTTGTTGTTTACTTCTGTTTGACCTGGGCCCAGTGACATAAATAAAATCTCATCTTTTCATCTTGTTTTGCTGTGGGCAGATTTTAATAATAAATCAAATGAAGAGTAAAAATACAGACAGATAAAGGACAGAGACACGTCCAGCAAGAAGAGAAAAGAGGCAGATGTTTTAGATAAATAATGAAGGTGATGTGCAGGAGATAAAGTGCAGAGTTCAGCCTGGACAGAGGAAAGTCTGAGGCAGTTTTGGAGTTTCTGCTTCACGTGTTTATGGAATTTTCTTTTGTGTGTTGATTTCCCTGACGGTCTGAGGAAGAAGCTGTTGTGTCGTTCATTCACACACACGTGTTTGAGTGACTCTTTATTATGAGTCTGTCTCCATCTCCACAGCTCTAAATGCTCTGATCCACCTTGTGATGTCAGTCCGTGTGTCGTTCGTTCGTTCTATTTTCAAAATAAAACCAAAAATAAGAAAATAATGAAAAAAAAAAAACTATTTTCTTCATTATTTGTCTCCAAAACCAAAATGAAAAAACAGATAACGATTCATTTTTTCAGTTTTCGATTTTGTGTTGAAATGAAAAATGGAAAAAAACAGATAACGACCGTTTCCTGTTTCTGAAACTTAAACTGTGACACCGAACTGAACCAGGACTGAACCAGGACTAAACCAGAACCAGACTGAACTGAACCAGGACTAAACCAGGACTAACCAGGACTGAACCAGGACTAAGACTGAACTAACAGGACTAAACCAGGACTGAACCAGGACTAAACCAGGACTGAACCAGACTGACTGAACCAGGACTGAACTAAACAGGACTGAAACACTGAACCAGGACTGAACCAGGACTCCAGGACTAAACCAGGACTGAAGAGGGACTGAACAGGACTGAACCAGGACTAAACCAGGACTGTGAACCAGGACTGAACCAGGACTAAACCAGGAACTGAACCAGGACTGAACCAGGACTGAACCAGGACTAAACCAGGACTGAACCAGGACTCCAGGACTGAAACCAGGACTGGGACTCAGGACTAACCCAGGACTGAACCAGGACTTGAACCAGG